ATCATACAGGACGTGGAAAGAAATTCTGAATTGAGAAAACCTAATCACGAATCTGCGATTGAGGTTTATAAAAATAACAAGTTTCCATCGTTCAAGTTTGAACCCCTGTGATTGGGTGACAGTTTTTTTTTTATCGCTTGGAGCTCACGAAAGGGAATCCCTATACTGGTCGTGCGTTCCTAGGGAGGATAGGGACAGGAGGTAGGTATTGGAATTTTTTTGAACTTCTGGGGATTATATGTTGTTGGGAATACATCCACAGGCAATGAATTCCAGAGCCTAGCCGTTCTATGGATGAAGGAGTCTTGATAAAGTGCTGTTCGACATCTTTCGAGGTTGACAACGAAAAGATGTGCTGACTGGGCTTGTCTAGTTCGTCTGACTGGTATTGCTAGTGAAGGGATGATAGCAGAGATTTCCGAAGAACATTTCCCGTGGAAGTATCGATAGAAAGGTGAAAGGTCGCCGACCTTTCTACGGTGTTCCAATGATGTCAAAGAGTGAGTGAGTGTGGCGTCACCCACCAAGCGAATGGCTCTTCTTTGGATGGAATCTAATAGCATCAGCGTATGTTTTGGTTCTGAACCCTATATGTGGGAACAGTATTCTAGAACAGGCCGTATCTGCGCTTTGTAGATCATGAGAAGCTGTTGAGGTGTAAAGTAGCTTTTCGCACGGAACAAGAATCCGAGTTTATGTTAAGCAGCTTTTGCGATGGATCTGACATGATTATCCCATGAAATGGTGGAGCCAGACAGTACAATATCGGGCATACTGAGTTCCGCCTTTCTAGAGAAAATACAGACTTGAGTTTTGGTGGCGTTGAATTCAACTAGGTTGTTGGTTCCCCAGGCTGTGATTTCAGCAAGGTCTTCATTGACACCATTGACCTGCCTGCGCCGTGAGTTCTTAGTTTCCTGGAAAGAAATGGGAATTCTGGAAGAGAACGCGGTATGGAGGGTACTATCATCTGCAAAGCTGTGGGTGGGGCAAGTTGTTACTCCCAACAGATCATTGATATGAAAAAGGAATAATGTTGGTGCCAAAATTGATCCTTGTGGAACGCCGGAATTGATGCCAATTGTATCAGACGATACACCGTCCACCACCACATGAAGCGATCTGCCTGAAAGAAAACTCGATAAGAGATGGCATAGCTGAGGTGGTAAGCCGTATGATGGTAGTTTGTGGAGGAGTCCTTCGAGCCAAACACGGTCGAATGCTTTCGATATGTCCAACGCGACAGCTAGAGATTCCCCGTGCTTTTCTAATGAAGCTTGCCATAAATGGGTGACGTAGGCAAGTAGATCTTCGGTGGCGAAAGCCGTATTGTCTATCATTGATGATTCCTGAGCTCTCCAGATATTTGATAAGCTCATATTGAAGGCTTCCTCCTTCACTTTGGAGATTACTGATAACAGGGCAATGGTCCTGTAGTTGTTGGGCAGGTTCTTGTTCCCTTTTTTGGGGATTGGTTGGACTCTAGCTGTCTTCCAGCATGATGGTAAAATACCCGACCTGTACGAGACGGTAAACAACTTGCAGAGAATCGGTGTTAATTCAGGTGCACATTTTTTGAGGATAATGGGTGGAATTCCATCAGAACCGTTAGCCTTATTCGTTTTGAGACCAAGTAAAATTCGTCTGATAGTGCGTTGACGGAAGACGATTTCGGGCATTCGACTCTCAACCGGTGGAATGTCTGGCGGCACTTGAGTATTGAAAAGGAATATTCTCAGGTATAATTATGAACATAAAAAAAAAGATATATTCATGAAGAAATACATTCGCATTCTCTATGTATTTCTTCATAAATATATCCATTTTTTTATGTTCATAATTATATCTGAGAATATTCCTTTTCAATACCCTGTATAGTGTATAGGTGTTATAAAAAACTGTTGCATTTGATAAAGTTCAATTTCCTCATGACTGACTGCTGAAATCTTATGCCGGCCTTACGTAAATATGATTGCAATATGTTTACCTGTATTCGTCAAATGTCGTACCTGGTACGACAATAATAGGAGGTATACAAACAGAAATACACGGGCATATTTAATAAGATAGACGTTTTATTTCTCATCGCGAAATAGTCATGGCCGATCACATGGTTTATAATTATTATTAACATTAACAGTGCCTACCTACCATGGAAGTCATGACTGAAGGTCATTTCGATAATATCGTAGGATTAGAAAAACGGTGATTTGATCTTCTCAAAGTCATGCACTTAATGAGTTGTTTGATCAAGTTTCTTGGCAGATTTTTTTCATGCACAACAAACTATCATGTTTTCCATCGATAAAATGTAGATATTCTTTTATTATTCTACAGAAAACTCTCGAGTAGTTTTCGGTGTTGTATGATACCCTGTATATATTTTCAAATAAGTGTTTATGATTTGACAGAGAAAAAATATAAATTCTATAAAATGAAAATATGAATATCTTTTCAATATACGTGTAGTAAGGACAAATCAGATGATTTGCCCCAAAATATCACTGCGTTTAAAGAATTTCCCTATCAGAGAACCTAAAAGAAAAATTCACTAGCTTGTCAGTGACAATTTGTATTGAAAAAGGTTTGGAGAAGAGAAATAAAGGTATATAGAAAAAAATATCAAATTTTTACTTAGCTTTGGACGTTTTGGGAACGAATCTGCTCCCGTTTTCAACATAAAAATGATTTTTTTTTTGTTTTGGAAATTCGTATGTGTCCTGACACTTGACGTTGGCAATCAAATGAGTTACAGGATGTTTTCATCATGATTAATCTTGAATTTACCATTTTCATTTTCCGATTTCAATAGTGAATACCATGTTCTATCTATATCAACTGAGCAGGAGGCAATGCTATTTTCTCCGTTCAGAAGGATGCAAGCAGATTCCTTGATTTTTCTCTTCTGGTTGTTATCTTCTTTTTAAATGATTTTGATATTATTCCACTCTGCCATATGTTGTCCATCTCCAGTAAGGATATGTTCAGCTAGTTTCGATTTTTATTTTTCAACTTCACCCTGTATCTCGGAAATGGAGCAATTCCAGTCTGGGGTAAGTTAATTAAAATCTGCTTACTCTAACCTCATCAGGAATATGTGATGAGATTTTGTACAGACCTTTCAGAGACACCCTGTATATGGATATCTGAAGATAAGCAATGTTACAAGACTCTGTATAGGTGTTAAAAAAAACCGTTCCCGAAACGTCCAAAGCTAAGTAAGAATTTGATATTTTTTCTATATACCTTTGTTTTTCTTCTCCAAACTTTTTTCAATACAAATTGCACTGACAAGCTAGTGAATTTTTCTTTTAGGCTCTCTGATAGGAAAATTCTTATAAACGCAATGATATTTTGGGACAAATCATCCGATTTGTCCTTACTACACGTGTATTGAAATAGTATTCATATTTTTATTTTATTGAAACGAGGAGAGAAAATCCCAAAAAATCTGGAAGAATGAATGTACCACTTCCTCGATTAACCTACAGACAGTATTCTTCATCAAATTTGAAATTTTCCTATTTAAATTCATCTTTCATATTGAAATCAAGATGTATGTTATAAATCAAAATTCCGCTGAAGATTTTGGAGAAACTGATTTCCGATTTTTGCGGCAACTTTTCTCGTCAGGTCAGGTTTCGAAATATTCAGGGTGATTCAGGTTCTAAGGCACAAACTAAAATGGGAGATAGATCTCATCATTTTAATCAACAAAGTTTGTATAAACATTAGTCCGATCTCGTTCAGTAGCGGATCTACAGGTGATCAAAGTTTAATTATTTTTTTTTATCAATTGAAATATCTCGCTTACTCTTCAAGATATCATTTTGAAATTTGGTGTGGTCAATACTTGTTAGAAGATCATCATTTCAAGCCATTTAAAGATTTTCAAAACCTACAGGGTGATACGTTTTTGGGGGTAGAGGCTTCTTTATTCCCCCCCAAACTTTTCCGTAGTATGCCTCTGGCATCTTTCAGTGATCAAATTGGCACTGGGACGAAATAGCGCAGGACAAAATAGCGCGGACAAAAGAGCGCAGGACAAAATAGCGCAGGGACGAAATAGCGCAGGGTCATAATAGCGCAGAGACGAATTAGCGCAGAGACAAAATAGCGCAGGGTCATAATAGCGCAGGGACATAATATCGCATAGATGAAATAGCGCATCAGGACAGAATATCGCATAGAGGAAATACCGCATTGACAAAAGAGCGCAATTCAATGTAACCCAGTATAGTTCTGGGTGGAGTTGTATAATCATTTATGCATCTTGACCAGTTTCAATCAAGGAGTTCATGTGATTGCTATCTGTCACTGTCAGATATAAGATTTGATTCATTGTGTCTGTGTTGTTCATCAATTCATAAACTATGAGTAATGGTACGAAATAGCGCAGGAACAAAATTGCGCGCGAAAATGGAGTGCAGGATCTATGATTAGGTTTGTTCGTTTGTTAGAGTAAAGACTGATTCTTCAAATACAAGGTGTTTCAAAATGAGTCTATACCCTAGCAAACAAATTAACCTAATCATAGGTCTACTTCAACAATCCAACGGCATACCTAGTATTAAGTTACTTCGTTTGTAAGGGTAGTCTCCTTTTGAAACATCTAGTATTTGAAGAAATAGTCTATGCCCTGACAAACGAATTAACGTAATCATAGATGATGCACTACGTTTTCGCGCTCAAATTTGTCTCTGCGCTATTTCGTCTCTGCGCTATTTTGTCTCTGCGCTATTTTGTCTCTGCGCTATTATGTCCCTGCGCTATTATGACCCTGCGCTATTATGTTCCTGCGCTATTTTGTCCGCGCTATTTCGTCCTGCGCTATTTCGTCCCAGTGCCGATCAAATTGTGTGGATCGTTCAATTCAGATGCTTTTTTGCTCCTCAATTTTTTTCGAGAAACGAACCGTTTTTGAGATAAATAAGCATAATATACGTTTTAAAACATGTTGATATTGCATGTTTCGCTTTCGAGAACATCTCATTCTTTTTCTCGGAAACTTATTGTCGTTTGTGTTCCAGGCCTACCATAAATCGAGAAGTTCCTCGGTGCAAATAGCGCGAATTATAGCCGTGACTGTGGTGGTGTGCTCGATAATCCTGGGCAGTTTCCTGCTGGCCTCGGCCTACGTGAACGCCAATTCTTCTTGCAGACAGCTCGAGCAGGAGCTCGAGCTGCTCGGCGAAGCTGCCGACAGGTTCCAGCCTCCTCTGCAACCGGAAGCGCTCATCCAGGTGGGTTATTATTATTTAATTATCACTTGGATTTCTCGATGATCATAACGCACGTTTAGAACAATAGTGTGATGATTAAAAATTCTTCGTTTTGAGAACTTTGTCTCTGGTGGACCTCACTGCAAAAAGTATATTTTTCTCCAAATTTCATTAAAAGTGGCTATTAAATGACACTCAACATGAAGAAAAGGTGTACTTTTACTGTCTAGGCAGAAAAAGTTTGTTGCTATGCAGCGTTCCAAGTAATTTGAATCAAATTGGTAATCAAAATTGACAATGACTTTGGGTGAACAAAAAATGATGGATTATTTGGACTTTGCGTGACATTGAAAGGAATTTGGAAAGAAAAATTATATGTTTCACATGGCAGAAAATAAGATGTAATGCCTTGGCTGGTTTTCTAGTCTTGTACTTTTCTGCCTATGGTAAAACAAATAACTATCTACGTCAAATTATATTATAATGTCATAAGTTTACATGATACATTTTTAGTTATGATATTTTTGAACATTCTTTTCCAATTTTTCAAGAAAAAGTTTCGACATGTTCCAGTTTTGATTCATCATATTCGACAATTTTCAGAGATGTCATGTCTGAAAAGCAGCAATTTCCTGAGATGTTACATCTCAAAAAATTGCCGTTTAACATGTATTATAGGTATTTTTCTTCATTTGTAGACCCCATCATATTCATGACTGGATTTATTGAAGATGTGCTCTGAGTTCCTATAATTTCAGGAAAATCCAAATCGTGCCCTTCGGTTGCTAAACATTCCTCTTTTGGCAGTTTTTCTATTTTCTTTAGTTTCTAAATAGAAACAAACGGGTATTTGCAAAATACAAATTTTGAGTCGAATAGCAATAAATTTCATTGCATAAAGTTGAAATGCCAATACCAACAATGAACAATCTATTCTTGGGAAATTGTTCAATCTGAAGGAATTATAATATATCTTTCAAAATTGCAATTTGAACATAAGGTGGAGCTTGATATTTCACGCAAAGAGATATATTTAAATCACATGCATTCGAAAGTTTCATTCTAGTTTTGTATTTCTTCTTTTCATTTTTAAAAGCCATCTTCTTGTTGCTATTATTTCAATCTTTCTGCAAAAGATCGTATTACCTACTCCATTTCATCATGCAATGATGTGACATTTCGTTGCATTCAATTCGATCATTATTGCATTTAATGATGAAAATGTAATAACGTGACAACTCAAACAATTTCAAATTGTGTCAAAAAGGTGACTTAATGACTTGTCACATTATTCATCACAAAAATTTCCCAAGAAGTCAGAATACGAGGCGTATCCTGCGAAGTTTAGGTGACAACGCAAAAAGTCACTTTTTTCTGTGACATTTCATCTCTGTTGGCAGGTTATAAAATGTCACTTTTCATAAATTACTTTTTTCCCGTGGGGAAAAAGTGAGTACTTTTTTCCCGGATATAAATCACATATGTATACACTGATGATGGCTTTTGTTGTGCTATAGTCCCGAAAAATGAGTCAATATTATACCGTCTCCGAGAAAGAACTGCAAGTTCTTTTATCTTCCATTCGACTTCGCGGTTACGTATGTTGCTAAACAACCACTAAATTCGCAATTTTTCGAAATCAAATCACAGAATTAGACTGACAGAAGTGACATCAGATATTTGATTACCAACCTTGAGTAGGTATACTTTATCTTGAGCCACTGAAAACCTTATGATGTCCCAATTTGATTTCACAAGTTTTCATAGTTTTCATTGAAGTAAAACAGATACTTGGATATTCTATATTCACTTCTTCAGTCCCTAGGGCCAAAGAACATATTTTAGTCCAGGCAGTGCAAAAAATCGTATATGTATTCATAGAGTAATTAATTTTTAATGGTGTAATTAACTCCATTCAAACTGCTTCTTATTGTTGGCTGAATTGGGCATTGATTTGCATTTTTATTTCTATATCGTTCACGTGCAAATTAATAATAATCATTATAATTTCGCTGTATAGATTCGAGACTCGGAATCAGGTCATTTACTTCCACCGTACAAATTAGTCGGTGTAACAAAAATAATGAAAGTGTTTAATAATTATCATTATTGATTTCTCTTTTGAGCGTTCGTTTATTTGAATTTGTTTTTCTGCTACCGAACAGTATTAATATGGTTCATTAAAAATCCGTGATTCGAAACGAACCCACAACAGTTGCAAACCATGAGTTCATAGTTTTCATTGAAGTGGTTCGAAAATTGAGTTGGTAGATAGGTACTTGTTATTTTCATCGTATATTGTCATAATCAAACAATGTCACGTTCACCTGCACATTGTCGCCATTCTTCATTTGTGAATTTTCTATTTTTGAATGTATGATGAATTGATAATCATCATACAGGAAGTGGAAAGAAATTCTGAATCGAGAAAACCTAATCACGAATCTGCGATTGAGGTCTAGAAAAATAACAAGTTTCCATCGTTCAAGTTTAAACCCCTTGATTGGGTAAAAGTATTGAAGGAATATTCTCATATACCGGGTGGCTACGGAAGTATTGCCTACGGAATATCTCAGTTATTGTATGAAGTAGGTTCGTGAAATTTGGAGCGTCGATATAATGACATAAGAGCTAGAATTTGAGCATACTGACATGTCGAAGTTAACTTCCGGTCTGACCGGAAGTAACATCAACTTTCTTATTTTGAATGGAAACCCTATTTTTTTTTCTTTTCGCTTTATTCAGCATTCAATTCCCTTTCTAATGACATATCACAAGTTGGTATCTAACCAGAAACTAAATCAGAAAAAAATTATTATTGAAATTCACCGAGTAGGCCGTGGAAGCAAAATGAAAGCCAAAAATTGAAAAGTTGGCTATGGAAACCATACGTCACTTGATAACAGTTGCTACTACAGTGATATTTTATTTTCATTCGTCGGCGTTATAAAAAGCCGCCAAAAAAAATATTGGAAAAATTGGGGAAAAAACAATACTCTGTAGGTCCATAACTTAAATAGGAACATACAACTTTCTCTTGCCTGTACTATCCAGCATAACCATTCCTTTCTAATGATATAATAGAAAGTCATTTTTTGGCTTTCATTTTGCTTCCACGGCCTACTCGGTGAATTTCAATAATAATTTTTTCTGATCTAGTTTCTGGTTAGATGCCAACTTGTGATATGTCATTAGAAAGGGAATTGAATGCTGAATAAAGCGAAAAGAAAAAAAAATAGGGTTTCCATTTAAAATAAGAAAGTTGATGTTACTTCCGGTCAGACCGGAAGTTAACTTCGACATGTCAGTATGCTCAAATTCTAGCTCTTATGTCATTATATCGACGCTCCAAATTTCACAAACCTACTTCATACAATAACTGAGATATTCCGTAGGCAATACTTCCGTAGCCACCCGGTATAATAATAATAATGAATATGAAAAAATGGATATACAGGGTGTCCGGAGACAAAACCGACAAAACTCATAGGGTTATAGGGACTGTCAATATGATTGCAAAATGCCATGAACAAATGTCCAAAATCGCTTCGTTACTGACATACAGAGTGATTTGTGGATTTTGACAAAAAAATCAATCCGCCATATCAAATACAGGGATTAACCGATTAGAATCACACAGAGTGTATATAAAGAAATACATTGAGAATTCGCATTCTCTATGTGATGAAAATATCAATTCTTTCTCGGTATATTCAATAGAAAACAACTACTTTTCTGGCTGTATGCCACGACGAACATTGAACTACATCTATTGGACACACACGATAAGCATTTGGAAACAAAATCTTCTGAAGTAGAGAATTTGCATTCTCCATCATTGAATTATATCTGTTGAACATCCTAAAAGAAAGCATGAAAAAGTGAAAATCTTCTGAAATTGAGAATTGACATAATCTCTCAAATCGGATAAAATAATATGATGTATTCACATTGAATTGTATATGAAAAGTATACTTGTATAAGCTCTAATCTTGATGAGCTTGGAACTACTCCAGAAGATTTTGTTTTCAAATTCTTATCATGTGTGTTCAATAGATGTAACTCACATTTCGTTATGCCTACATTGCGTTACACCTACATTTCGATAGGCCCACATTTCCATATCCCACAATGTCCGAACATACCCGAAGGATGCACTGTTGCCTTATATTGTGCTTGATGTGTTATTTTCCGAAAAATATACTTCTTAGGAAAAAGGTTGATTTAGGTTAAGTTAGGTTAGATTGTTCAGAAAAAGTAATATTCCCTGTTTCCTCAAGCAATTTATCGAAAAATATTCTTCTTAAGAAGGTTTATTTAGTCCCAGTCAGGTAAGATTTTCTTGAAAAAGTATAGTCTCTATTGCTCTCTCAAGTAATATTCAGAAAAATATATTTTCTAGGAAGGAGGTTCATTTAGGCCGAGCAAGGGCAGAATGTTCAGAAAAAGTAGTCTGTTTTCTTATGCAGAAATGATATTTCCCTTCCTCATATTACGTATTCGGAATTCAGGAAGCCATAGAGGGAAATGCTATAGCTAGACGCTTGTACTAGACAATGTGGGCCTAACGCAAATTGTGTTACACCCACATCTGGCAAACGTGCATCCTTCGGGTATGTTCCGAGACAGTGGGAATAAAGAAATGTGGAGCTAACGAAATGTGGGCCTATCGAAATGTAGGTGTAACGCAATGTGCCGATAGGCACACAATGACAATTTAATTGAATTCTGGTACATATATTTGGCAACAGTGGCTCCTTCGGGTATGTTCGGAGACTGTGGATGTATCGAAATGTGAGGCTAACGAAATGTGGGAACAACGCGATGTGGGAGTAACGAAATGTGGGCATAAAGCAGCGCACCCAAAAATACGTATACAAGGTGTTCCTTGATGATCTGCTGATATTCAACGGGCCGATTCTTCGACCCATTTCAATAATAAAACTTCATATGCACGTATTTCATAAACGTCCTAACTTTTGAGATACAGGGTGTCAATGTTGACAATATGCATAGACTATTTCTTTGTCCACTCTGTATAGCTTTTCGTGATGGCAACATTCAGTGTGCTACGTGACTGAATCGGTATACAAATTTCAAAATTATACATACGGTGGTTATCCAGTAATGGATGTCCTGAATGGAGTACTCAAACATCAACATTTGAAGTCTAGCCCCGTTTTTCCGTTTTTTCTCGAAAACGAAGCGTTCTATCGAGTATGAACAATAGGATCTTTTTTGTACATAATTGAATAGCCTTTTATGACATTGTACAAAATTTTAAACTTTTTTGTCGTTGTTCACTTTCAAGCAAAATATAAACAATAATATTCCCGTAACGGTGTCACTGGTAGACAAAATGAGAATTTTTGTACATTAGAAATTGCACCTTGATGCATAAAAGACGTGTACCAAATTTCATGATGACGTATACAATATTGTCTCAGTTATTATCAAAAATCTTCATCACCCTGTATCTCAAAAGTTAAGACTTCACCCCCTCGAATATTAGCATGCCTTTGAGGAACACCCTGTATAAGAAAAAGAAATTTCGAAAAAAAAAACCATCGTATGATAAGTGGAAAATTACCGAACTTTTTTCGATTTTCAGGAGGAACCCTTGCCCTCTAAACGCCACTCAGACCACTACCCCACCGAAGAACCCCCAAAGAACACCAAAGAACTAGAAACGAACAGCATCGACAACAGCGATGCCGACTCCGACGACACCTCCGAGAACTCCTCCGGAGAATCCGGGGAGCCGGAGAAACCGCACCTCCGCATGCCCGTCCAAATGGACATGGACGATTTGGTGGCGTCGTTGCTCGAGAAGAACCAGAAGTCGAAGATGAACTGCATCGTGGAGAAGAAGAAGGCGGAGGAGTTCGTTGATCATCAGCCGAAGACGATAAGGTTGCCGTTCGGGGTTAATATTACCACCAATCCGAGGTTCGAGAAGATCAGCGGTGAGAGGATGGTGATCGTTTGCGAGAGCGGGTCGATGCAAAGGTTAGTACCTAACCTACCTTTGTAATGGTTCAAGTCCTACTGGTCAGAACGAACTCAAAAAGTAACACTCAATGGCAATATTTCACATCCCCAGAGCGTAATTAGTGGGGTTCCACAAGGATCAGTCCTTGGGCCAATTTTATTCTTGCTATATATCAATGATCTCGCCCACATTGATATAACACAATTTGCAGATGATACTACTTTATTTTGGCATAACAAGAATGCATTAAAATTGCAGAACATTATGAAGATGAAAATCTGGTGCGATGCTGACCTTTTATCATTCAATATTTCAAAAATTAGTCTCAATACCTTTAATAAGGGTTGCAGGCTGGAAATCCTCTTGGGTAATGAGTTGATCAAAAATAACATTTCAACAAAATTTTCAGGCTCACATATCGAAAACAGCCTGCAATTTACTGAACATGTAAATAGCATTTGTAAGAAAGTTTCGTCAGGTTGTTTTGCCGTAAGAGTATCAGCAAATGAACTAGGAACAGATGCTGCCAAAAGTGTGTATTTTGCACTAATAGATTCTCACCTACGATATGGTATCTGTTTTTGGGGAACAGGCTGCCAATATTCATTTGATAGGGTGTTTGTTTTACAAAAAAAGGGTTAGATCTATGTGCAAGGCTAAATTTAGGGATTCTTGCAGACCGTTCTTCGTAAAATACAATATTTTGACATTGCCTTGCATTTTTATTTTAGAGACGGTATGTTTGATGCAAAAAATATACGAATGAAATTTTCGCTACGTCCCAAATCAATACATCACGGTAAGTTATAATTTCATATCATATAATACACCATATTATTCTATTCGATTTGAAAGATGATGTGAATTCTCAATTTCAGATGATTTTGATTTTTCATGCTCTCTTTTTGGATATTCAACAGCTATAATTCAATGTTCGACGCGGCAAATAGCCAGGAAAGTAGTTGTTTTCTGTTGAGTATTCAGAATGATATTATATGCATATCTTTATAATATGAAGGAGAATGCAAATTCTCTACTTCAGAATATTTTGTTCTCAAATTCTCATGTGTGTTCAATAGACATAATTCATTGTTCGTCGTGGCGTACAGCCAGAAAAGTAGTTGTTTTTTGTTGAATAAACCGAGAAAGAATTAATATTTCCATCACATGGAGAATACGAATTCTCAATGTATTTCTTTATAAAATATATATATATATATCCTTTTTTTTTTATTCATGAATATATCTGAGAATATTCATTTTCAATACTTTCACCCAATCAAGGGGTTCAAACTTGAACGATGGAGACTTGCTATTTTTATAGACATCAATCGCAGATTCGTGATTAGGTTTTTCTCAATTCAGAATTTCCTTCCACGCCCTGTATGATGAATGTCAATTTATCATACATCCAAAAAGATATTCCTCTTATTATCTGATTCTTCAGTTGTGTGTTGTGTTATCTGTTATCTCAAGTAAGTATTCAGTCCAGAAAATTCACTAGAGTCTAGGGCGAGCACCTCCTAAGGAAGCTAACTTTTTTGATATTTTGATTGAAATGATAATCAGAAATATTCTTGCAGTCGTCTTATAGAAATAGAGAATAGATACGTATGTCGATTCCTTCCGGATGATTACGTCACGCGTTTTCCAGCGTTTTTCATGTGTCGAAATATCGTGAATTTTCAATAATTATTTAAAAAATTTACAGATCTCTGGGGAAAAAACGGTTCCTTTGCGACAGTGAACTCTAGTTAGTAAGAAGATGAAAACTCAAATCTAAAACTGCCCAGTGTCACAAATATTCAATTGGAATAAATGAGCTATCGACATTTTCCAGTAAACTAGCGCCATTGACAGGCAGATTTTTTTTTCAATGAACAGACAATATAGCTCGCCCACTAGGTTTTCAATAGGAACGATAGGTTAGGTTAGGTTCCATGTGAGTGGGGCGAATACCTCCCCTTCACGGCGACCCCAGATGGGTCTATTGTGGCTCACCCCTAGAGGTTACAGTTTACCGTACAATCCACATCTTTTTACAAAGTTCATGGTTGAATTGGGTGAGATTTGTCTGAAATCGATAGGTTCTAAATTGGTAAAGCCAAATGTGTCGAACCTTAGTCTTTCTAAGGTAGAGCATGAACATAATATGTGTTCAGCCGTTTCGTCTTCCACACAACAGAACCGACAATCCGTTTGTTGGTTCAGACCCATCCTTCCCAGGTGGTATCTTAGACGACAGTGTCCCGTAAGCAGTCCAGTCAGAATTCGCAGGTTACCCCTGCTCCATTCTAGGATCTGCCTGGTTATTTTTTCCGATGGTACGTGTACCAGTACGTGAGTGTTTTTCCCTCCGCCCAGCCCGAGATAGTTGTTTTCGCCGCACTTGCGGTTACCCCAAAATATGGTTCTGGTCCTATGAATACAGATTCGGTTCCCTGTTTGGCGAGGATGTCGGCTTTCTCGTTACCCTCCACCCCCTGGTGTCCAGGCACCCACAGCAAAGTGACTCTGTTGTTAGCACCCAGGCATTCTAGGGATTCAATACAGCTCCATACAAGCTTGGAATTTATCTTGCTGGAGCTCAGTGCTTTGAGAGCAGCCTGACTGTCTGATACAATAGTGATATTTTTGTTTACTAGAGGTTTATTCGACAACTCTCTGGCACACAATTCAATTGCGAATACCTCCGCATTAGTAACGATAATGATCATAGAAAAACTCTCGGCAGTCATGTAGACCTGAACTGCCCCTCCTTCGATTCGCCTTCAATATAAAATCTCTTTTCCAGAGCCGAACCACCCCGTCAATCCCGACCGGAACAAGAAGACTCTGAGGAAGACATCGACGGCCACGACGAGCAACAGGACACCATCATGATCCAGCCGGTGATGATCCCGATTCCGCAATCGCCGTTCCGCACCCACATGCCCCAACAGCAGATGCCCATGGTGCAGATGGTGCATCAACAGATGGCGCCCGAGGGCCGCCCTATGAATCTGCCCGCCCACCTGTTGGCCATCGAAGGCATGAGGCCGCCCGCGTCACCGGTGATGCCACCGCAGGTACGTAATTATCCGATGTAAGATAAGATAATATCTTTTTTCCGCAACCGACACAAAAGTCGTCCATTTTGATACCAAAATTAGCTCTTAAATTGACGTTTCTATTACTAACACAAATGTAGGTATGTTGCTAGGCAACATATTTAGTTCCTAGGAGCTAAAGTTGAATTTTAGTGCAAAGGAGCTAAAGTTGAACTTTAGCTCCTAGGAACTAAAAAGGATGTACTGGAAGTCATCAAGAATAAACAACATTGTGATTGTTGGTTATTTGGGTTGAGACGCATAGCTGATTTGTTTCCGATTCCAGCGGATTTGGCAATTCATACCCATGCTGGAGATATAAATACACCTTATTATAGTTTAGTATTGGAATTATGAACATCTCAGTTTAGTATTTTTGTTTTGATCAGGGAAGCCTTCACGATTCAAATACTTACTTGATCTGTATTTCATTCGTTATTCTCGGGATGGATAACTTCTTTTTGAATAATCACGGCAAGCAATAGTTTTTTTGTCACAAACAACGATATTGTTCAGCTTCATTTGATTATCAAGTCAAACACTGTGTAGTATGGAGAGGAATAAATAATCACTATTATCATTATGTTGTTGATTTGCTCACTAACCTAACATTTTCCGCGTCTTGTTCCTATAGCTGGCAATGGCGCAGTATTTGCCATTACAACGTCTGGTCCATACACAATATGGTATTTGTGGTTGTATTCATATTGAAACTAAAATTCGAACATTCTTGAAAATTGAATAAACCTGCTGTTAATGCAGGTAGAATATTCTCACCACACGGATTATTTGTTGCATTGTATAAATATGGCACGGCATTGGTGGTTACTTCACATATTTATTCGAAAACATTGTTTCGGTTGCAGTAAAAATAGCATGTTTCATTCGGATCAAAAGTGACTTTGTTCGACTCGCAAATTTTGCTTTCGCTCGGCTTCGCTAAACGCTCCGCCTCGCAAATGCAAAATTCGCTTGTCAAACAAAGTTTCACTTTTGATCCTAATAAAACAATCTTTCATATTTTCCAGTAGACAACAGAACATTGTATACAAATAGTCGAAATATACTGAAAACTATAACTAGGTAGGTACACAAATGAACTATAAATTCAGAATTTGAAAATTCAGAACATACAATAATTTGATATTCAAGACAGAATCTACAATTGGATAGTTGAAATCCATAGTTTGTACCAATGTTCCTGAAAATATTTCACAATATAGATAAAATGTGATAAAATATCAGTACATGCAATATATATGTGCTGGGTGACTATTTGCTCTTCTAGAGTTGCAAAAAATCACGAAAAAAAAAATGCAATTTCTCCGAGTGAATCCTGTTTTTTTTATACAAGGTGAGTCAAAATTGTGTTTTTTTTTTAGTTGATTAAATCAAAAAAGTTTTTCCACGTTACTTCCAAACGGAAAAATCCACCAATTTGAAAATTTCTGCATAAATGTATGTTGATGAAATAAATTAACGTAATTTTCGGAGTTCGTAGAAAAAGTATAGTATGTAACGCGTTTATAAACTCTTCTAGACAATCGTTTATTAAACACTCCGCTCTGCTCCGCTTGTGCTTAAAATACTCGTTACTAAAAGGGAGTTTATAAGACCTGTTACATAATAGTCTATTAATTCAATAAACTTTGGAAGGATATCTCCTTTAATACACTTTTTGGGCCATTAGTTCATTTATCGAACTATACTTATTTTGCATATAAAACGGCCAGTCCTGTAACTTCTGAACCATCGAGATCAAGTATTTCCTTGAATATGGAAATAATGAATTTTCTCAGTTATTTAGGGAAAATAGTAGATTTTAGATCGATGTTGTGTTGCCTCTCGAAGCGTAGCTGAGGATGACAAAAAATCGTGAGCTAAAATAAAATATTTTTCCCCTGTATAATACACTATTTTTTTCATGTCAAACATTTTTTCCGTCACAAAAAAATCACTTATTCTCATTATTTTTCCGTGTTTGCCCAAAAATATTGGTTGTCTAGGTTTAAAGTAGATTTATAAGTTTGATACCAATTTTTTTTTTTCAGGTCCAGCGCATTTCTAGAATCCAAATCCAAGCTCGCCCTCAGTTGATGGAAGAACCTCAGATGCAAGTCCATCAGCTGCCTCCTCAGATGCCACCTCAGATGCCACCTCAGATGCCACCTCAGATGCAACAGTCGGTAAGCATTCATCCATTATTTCAGCATTTTAAAATCAATCACATTTTTACATTGTTACTTTTTCCCATTCCCAACTAGCAATTTAACGTTACGACGACGTGTTTGAAGAAGTTGCGCAACCAAACGTAAGTCGCGTGGCGACCATAACACAACGTTGTCATAACCTTCTTCTGCACCGATTTGGTCAATCATTTTTTGGTTCTTGAAACGTTTGAGTTTCAACTGTAGATAGTAGTCTCGGCCGTGGGCCCACCATGTACTCACGGCGTCGGGGTGGGGGTAGCCTCAGGTGACTCCAGACTCTACTGGTTAAAAGCTTGAGGTCCTCACTCTTGTCATGGTAGCGGTACGTGTGAAAGGCCGCGAACGGACACCCATCAAACGGGACCAGAGGATTCTGGTCGACATGGGTAGCTGGGCTTGCTCAGCGAAAAATGGAACTTTGGTGTACCTTGTGCCTCAGTTCGACAGGAAGAGGGCAGCCCCAAGCGATCCTATCGCCAGACATCATAGGTAAAGCCGGGTCCTCTCCTGTAAACGAGGTAGAGGAACGTGTAAAAGTCCTCGAACGATCACTCATTCAACGGGACGAGAGGATTCTTGTCAACATGAGTAGCAATTAGGCGAAAGCCTCTTGCGACGGCGACCCATCAAACGTAACAAGAGGAATCTTGTTGACATGGGTACCTGGGGTGATGAGGATAGCCTCATCAGGCCGTACATACGGCTTGGTGCCCGACCAATTGGGTTGGACTCCAGGGGGCAGCGGTTTCCAAAAAAAAACACCACCGGACTACGGTAGAGAAGGTAAATAAGAATCCCACTATGGGTCAAGTGGGAGGAAATCTTGCCTGCCTCGGCGGGTGAGCAGCGTTTCTGCTCGGGCACTGACACTGCAGAGCCAGTAGTCTATCTTATTAGACGGCCTCACCATTGGTATAATAAAATGGTAGCAAGAGAACATGCCGTTACATAACGGAGATGGCTCTAGCGCGCTGATTTGGCGTATCCAAATCCTCCATTTCTCCCGGGGGTGCTGTCGGTATAAGTCGAAAGATAGGTGACCGGCAGTTATCGCCTATGGGAGTCTTGTGAGAGGGGGGAGAAATCCCACTTTGTTGCTACCCCGGCAACTTGGTCCTGGACCTCTGATTCTTCTGTAGATAGTAGTCTGTGGTTTCGTAAACGTTGCTAGATTGCCTTAAAAACTACCGCACAGCTGCGCCTTCTCGCGCATTACAATTCACTTTCCATTGTGTTCAGAAATTAGTATATTTTTCAAATAAATAATAAGGTACTGAGGACCTGAATGGTGACTTAGGAAATAGTTTCAAACAATTATTATAGCATGTTAATAGCAAAATGTTACATTCTCAAATACAATAATTATGTTGCCGAAAAATAACAATTGGAGACAGAAATTAACAGCGCATTTGATTCCACTGTCTAACATACTATCGTTTTATGCCAAAAAACTAGCACGCCTTTTATCCGTTGCAAATTTCTCGAAATTCAGTAAATGAAAAATTCAAAATTTAATATAAAATGTTCAAAGTTAATATTGATTCGAATGCGAAATGAAGGGGATATGTATAAATGGTTTCTAGAGAACTGAAATAGGGCAGTAATATTTCTAAATATGTTTGTTTATTTCTCAAATTTCAATTGCCGGCCATTTTTTCAAAGAGAATTACACTCACACATTTCTTAGAGTTGGAGGAAAAATAAAAAACCTCCTTCTTGTTTGTCTCGGGCAGTTGTGCGCGTGGGCACTTCTGCCCGAGTTCAGTGTCATTTATTGACACTGTTGTTCTCATGCTTGGGAGATAGTGCTGTCTAGACTCTCCCCGGTGGCTCGGACTTGTCCGGGAAGGTTCCCGACTATAGATTATCAGACTTCCTAAACACATCGGTTGATGCATATATCAGCCCGTGTTTTTTGTGGATGTTATGGTGTTGTGATGTTCCGGGTAAGGTCACTTCCAGCGATGTGGTATTTGTAGAATCTGTTGGCTATTTTCAGAATATATTCATTCTCGGCAAATTACCACATCTCTCATGGAGATCTGCCACTCGAGAGTATCTATCACCATTGGTGATAATACGGAGTACTTTGTCCTGCAGCACCTGTAACCTATTCATATGAGTAGGTGAGATGCTGCATTACACAGGACACGCGTATGTTATCACAGGTCTGATGATCTGCTTGTACACCAGGACCTTGTCCTCCTGTGAGAGAGGGGAGGTCCTGGATACGGTCGTGCGCCAATCCCGGCTTGTTGGAGGAAGTCTTCATCATCATTTTGCATGGCCGAAGCTTGCAAAAGCGAAGAACCCTTTCTAAAATGATAAGTATTTCTCTATCATCAAACGCCCACGGATACCATTGTGTATCCGGAACTTCACGATCCTCATAGTACACCCTGAATTCAAAGTATTCATTTCATATTCATCCAGGTATATTGTGTCATTCAGAAGCCATGGATGAATATATTACATGTTACCGATATTGAAACAGAAATAGTTAAAAAATTACTTACCCATATCGATTCTCCATTGTTCTTCCCAAAATGGAATAACTCTATATAATTCACCGGTTTACCAATGCAGAGACGTCTCCAAACACAATGACAAAGCACGCAGACAAGCTCGCAAAATTCCACTATTTCAATAATCGTTTCGTTGTGTCGGAGAAGGGGACGATGATTTATGAAACCAGATGGTATCCGTAGGCGTAAATGGGTTAATATAAACAATTGTGTTAGGCCGAATTCCCGCCGAATCCGATCTTGCGTCACATCGTGCAGCAGATCATCGCGCAGAAGATCATGGAGAGCCAGAGGGCGCGCGAGATGCAGATGAGGGAGGAGCAACAGCAACAACAACAGCAGCCGCAGCAGCAGCAACAACAACAACAGCCGCAGGTCGAGCTCGAAGAGGAGCGTCCGCACAGGTTCCAGATGCCCGACGGTCAGGTGGCACAGAACATGATGGGCCAGAGGATTCCCATTCCCGAAGAGGTGTTGACGCAATTGAACAGGTGAGTGGCAGGTCCGGAATGGCTACTATTTTAGTAGAGGGTCTATGGGGTTTCTAGCTCAAGCCAATTAGAAGCCAGCATTTGGTTGGAGGCCACGCCCACTGAAAACCGGCGCGAAATTCAAATTATTCATAGGTCGTCACGTCGCCATCGTGAATAAATAAAATTAAAAAAGCTGTCACCGCTGGGGAATTGAACCAGGGACCGTTTCAATTCCAATTATTCAATAAAAACATTTTTACAATACAAGGTGTATAATCAAAAATCTTCTAAAGGGACAATGGACATGATAAAAATGTAAAACATACAATGCAGAACACTTAGATACGCCACAGAAATACCCTCCAAGGGAGCCCTCAGAGGCAGCCGATGCAGGCCTTGCCGATGATTTTTGTCTAACAACCCTGATGGCAGTCATGAGGAAGCTGACTCCTAGGAGTAAATCTTCAATCCAGCACATGTCAGTGAGTTGCCCAGGGCAAAAAAGATTGATCGTCGATTGCTACCTTTTTCTCTCTGATTTAGCATTTTTTGTGTTGGAAAATAAAAATAAAAAACCAACTTTTGAAATTTCTCTGTGAAAGACACTATGAGGGATGAGGGGTGGGATAGGTGTGGGAGAGTGATTGGGATCTAATAGACTGATTTCGTATCCACAAGTTCTCTGAGTCCAGCAGGGAGATTCTATTTCACGAATCGAGTCGAATCCGCCATCTTTATTCGATATTTGGTATTCTGTTTCTCGATAGAATCGTGTAAACTCGACTCGATTCCTCGATAGCTCAAGATGAGTCGAGTCGATGCGTTTCGTCAATCTATCCTTATCTATCATCGAATGTTTCTTGTCATCTTCATCTCAGTTTGAGGTTAGATCATGTTGTTTATGTGAAAGCACAGCTTTGAAAGTGTGTAATCAACTTATTACTTCATAAATATAATGTATAATTAATTTTCGATGTCGTTCAAACTCAGAGATGTCCACTGGGAAATTTTAATAACGTTTTTAGAACAGCACAGAACATGGTCACGGCCACAGGATGATTTTCAGAGTCTAATGATCGTGAAACCAATAAAAAAAATGTTAATCAGGCTAAGCCAAGTAATAATTCATTGGAGTTTGACGAGTGAACTCCTGAGAAATGGCGTAAGGTAGCATCTTTGCTATGATATAGTTGCATAAAACCTCAGTGCACAGAATATTTGAGGTTCTGTATACCGATTCCTGACCTATTCCGTTCATACTTTGACCTATCCACTAATAAGTGGGGTCTCAATGATTGTATCAGAAACCAAACCAATCTTTTGTTCAATCTATGTAGCTCAATGAATCATTTTTCAGGTAATGAAAAAGGATTAGGTGGGTACCTACTTCTGTTACTATGAAGTTCTTGTCGTCCGACGAATTTGATCCAAATTTCTTTGCCTATCTTAAGCTGCTGAAATACCATCTCGACTCGAACAATTAGAATAATTTTTATTTTCGTCTTAGGATTGCAAAAATTGGAATTCATAAAAACAATTTAACCACCATAACCTCAAATTTGTGATGGCTTTGGGGCCATGGCCTCGTTACGTTATCTTTATCAGTAATTATCTTCATTCAGCCAATGCGCGATTCATGGGAATTTTTCATATTACTTGACAAAGTAAGATTCAAGAACTGTTATGATATAGTTATCATGCATTCAAAGAACAATTTCCGGAAATCTAGACATATTCATGATGTTGGCAACGTCGTACAGGCACAGGGTATCGTATTTTCTGTGTGAATGTGGATTTTCAGAAAATACGTCATAAAAATGGTGGAGGAGCCAAGTTCCTCTTTTATTAATTTTTTTCTGAAGTGAAATTCGATCTTACGAACAAAAACGACCCACCGGGCATATGCCTATGGCTCATGCTGCAAACTTCATTCTCGTAGGAAATCACTATTATTCCGTGCTCGTTATAGCATATTACACACTGAGGTGGGTAGTGATTCATTCCTGTCGTGATAAATTAGTTAGTTAACAGAGACGCAAAGCGTCGAGGTTAGCTATTATCTCGAGACCGGAATGAAACTCCCTACTGAGGTTTGTATACTATTTTATTTACAACCCATCATATTTCGATCAAAATTAATAAATCTATGTTTCGTTCTGAACCAGTGGCGGCTCGTGACTTTCATGACAGAGGAGGCTCTGAATGATATGAGATTTATTGTGAAAAACAACTCTCTACTCACCCAAATCAATAGCTTTAATGACATTCTGTTTACCAGTTAACCTGATCTTAATACTTGAAGAGATGTGTTCCTGTGATTTGCAGTGTCTATCCAATCCGCGAGGCAAATTTTTCAAATCATTATATCAGAGATGTATAGAAATTTGACTGGTGAGCTCACTCTTCAATTGTTTCGTCAGACTAACTCTCGATATGGAACAATTGCAAGCGAGTTTTGGACGTGGGGTTCAGGTATTTGCGATAGAGGCGCCATAATCGGAAAATCGTTCAAAATCTTGGTTCTGTGGGGAATGAATCTATTTCCATCATTGTTCTGTGGTCGAATAAATACAGTGCTCAACATTTTCATTAAAATTTCAATTTGAAATAGAAGCAAGAAATCTTTTTTGTAGCCGATTTTAATAAGCTTCACTTCTTTCATGACATGAACCTATTCAAAGCATGGAATCTGATGACTTTCCTCTTTGAAGAACCAGAACAAAGAATGTATCAACTATTGAAATAGACCAATATCGAAAATCATAATAGGCAGATATGGTAACTGGTAACTGGTACTCACCTTAGAATTTTTTCTCACCAGTGCACGCTAATATTTCAAATCACTGAAATAATACTGTTGTAGAACAGAGATTTTCTTGTTTCTATGGTGGATTAGGTATTATACACAAAATTTAGAAACTATGGAACACGTCCCTAACGAACACTTGACCCCAATCTCAGAAATAACCATTTTTTCAGCTCAAGAATATTTTTGACATATTGACGTTTCGATCCTTCGATTAGGAATCAGTTCACTGCTCTGATCCAAATCATACACGTATCCAAATATTTAGCGGTCGATAATATGTTTCCTGTAAATATGGATTGTAACCAGGATGAGCTTAGCGAGATTTACCCACGTCAAGTATGTTTATCAAAGGTTTATCAGAGTAGGCGCCATCGAGAAACTTGCAAACGACCTTCAATAGGGAGCAAGCGCACCAGTTAAATTTTTATACATCTCTATTATATCCTAATCGTCCCCAACATGATGACTTATCGGTTGAAAATAATACGCAGTACCAACAGAATAGCTTATTCCTTACCTCAGATTCTGTCAGCCAGATATATTTTTTATAATTATCAGAATTGAACGAACGATTTTGTTTGTTACCTGTTACAATCAGATTTTTTGATTCCGGTGTTTTTCACAATCAATTTATCTTCATAAGACAAAGCATTGAATGGGTTCACCAAAAAGTATTCCACTAAATCGCAATCGTTTAAAACACTCATTTTTCAGAAATTTATAGAGCCCCTAACCATTAATCTAACATAAACATAAACAATGCACTCGCGTTTGTCCGCAATTCGCGAAGCGACACGACAAACACGTGCTCTTCGGGCGAATTCGGGCATTTGCATTGCGCGCGTAGGTTGCGAGTTGTGAAGGAGTCTAGCCTCCTATAGATGTTGCCAAGTTGAATATTTCACGCGTGATGCAGACTTCAACGTGTGATGCGTGGGCAAGCACTGTTGCCAATTCAAAAATATTCATCTAAAAACAGGAAATGAAATCAAAATCCATGTAGGTTGGTGTCCTTTTAATGAGAAAGTATAGATAATATTAGTTTAAGGAAAATCTCTGAGAAGGCTCAGCCTCCGTTGCCTCCTCTGAGGAGCCGCCACTGCTGAACATACCTGAATTATTACATGAGTGAGGGCTGGAAGTGAGGACGAGAAGTAGTGAGGGGCGGAAAGTAGTGAGGGGCGGGAAGTAGAGGTGTGTAATGTGACACTTCCCAACCTCCAATAACGTCAGTAATGACAACATTACATACAGTGTGACCCATTTAAGATGGAAGCACCCTTATAAAACTTACATTTTTCAACCGATTGGAATGATTTTTTTTTGTTAGGTAGATATTCAGAAAGTCTATTAGGACACCAAATATCATGAATAAATCTCCATTTCCAGGGCCAACTAATCTGATTTTTCAAGGTCAAAAATCTAAAAAAATTACTAGCGATTTTTTTAGAAAAAATCTGACTACACCACTGGATTTGTGACATTTTCAAATGGGTAACATGTAAATTACGTTGAAATGCGTCAATCAATAAAAAAAGTTATAAAGGAATGAAATTTGAAAAATATGCCGTTTAATCAACCCACCAATTCATGTTCAGGAATTTTATGAAAATTCTGTATACTCCACTGTATTCAGGATGTCTTGAAATATTACTGATCACAGTTTCATCGAAATCTGTTCAGTAATAAAAATTGATGGGTTGATTAAACGGCATATTTTTCAAATTTCATTCCTTTATAACTTTTTTATTGATTGACGCATTTCAACGTAATTTACATGTTACCCATTTGAAAATGTCACAAATCCAGTGGTGTAGTCAGATTTTTTCTAAAAAAATCGCTAGTAATTTTTTTAGATTTTTGACCTTGAAAAATCAGATTAGTTGGCCCTGGAAATGGAGATTTATTCATGATATTTGGTGTCCTAATAGACTTTTTGAATATCTACCTAACAAAAAAAAAATCATTCCAATCGGTTGAAAAATGTAAGTTTTATAAGGGTGCTTCCATCTTTAATGGGTCACACTGTATATGGTTGTAAATAAAACAATATACTATAGTCCACTCGCCTATTCCAGACTCCCCAACCGTGACGTGATCGTGGCCGTCCAAGAAACCTCACCTGAAGAATCCGAAGAAGACGACCAATCCTCGTCTTCGTCTTCTGAACAACAACAACAACAACAGCAGCAGCAGCAGGAGGTGCGATTCGTGCAGCAGGAGCAGAGACAAAGCGCTGCCGAGGTAAATGGCAGACAGACGTTCGCGCCAGTGGACATCCCTGTGGCGATGATGCCGCGCATGCGCATGGGTAGGCAACAGATGCTCGAAGAGGAACAGCAGCAGCACGTGGAGGAGGCCAGACCTCATTGTGAGTGGTTTTTCTTTTTTCGTGTGTGTGTGTGGGTGCGTGCGTTATAAGTTGACGCTCCCTTTGCGCTTTTTTGGGGGGGGGGGGGGTTTACTTGTATCGTAATTTCGAAAATTTCGAAAGGCCTTTGTTCCTGCAGACTGCAGATGCAAATTGATGAACAAAAAATAGCAATACCGGGTGTCAATGTATTTATAAGACGACCCATAGTTTTCTTAGAGTTCTGAAGGTATGATATTATAGATTGGCAATGGTGTTAGATACAAATATTATTATGAAATTTTTCGATATTTCATACTACCCCAACACTTCCGGTTTCTGTAAAAACTTCACAAACGATAAGATTTCCACAAAATTCTCAAACAAGCGACATGTTTCGCTAACACAGTAGCTTCGTTAGGTGATATACTGGTACATTGTAAAAATTGTTCACAGTGTCCAGCTTTTTCTAATTTCCGGCAATCCACCGCCGTTACAATTTTCCGAGTAATTTTCCTATTCATTATAGCTCAGTCAATCATTATACAAAGAAAAAGTGTATTGTGAATTCCAGTTGATTTGCCCCAAAATGTCACCGCGTTTAAAGAATCTTTCTATCAGAGAACCTAGAAGAAAAATTCACTAGCTTGTCAGTGACAATTTGTATTGAAGAAGGTTTGGAGACGAAAAAATAAATAAAGTGAAAATTTGATATTTTTTCTATATACCTTTATTTCTCTTCTCCAAAGCTTTTTCAATACAAATTGTCAATGACAAGCTAGTGAATTTTTCTTCTAGGCTCTCTGATAGAAATAGTTATTTATGTATCAAGGGCGTAAAGAAGGTGTTTATGGCCTGTGGCGTGATACATACAAAATTTTATGCACTAGTGGTTTATTTCCCGAGTCACAAGTAAAATGACTAGATTTTAACAAACTACAATTCATATGTCACTCATGAATTCAGTTTTCAAGAGAAGCGCAATGTTTATGTGTTTAATCTACATATTAAAATTACCGTATGAATATTGCAATTATCCTAAGAGTTAAACTCTTCGTTCACTAACAGAGATGCATTCCTTGACATGTAACAATATGTATACCAGTATATAGCTTTCTAAATTTGACGTTGTCAATCAATCTGAAGGTTGCTGTCTAGCAATATATCCAAAAAACAAGCTGGAATTGTCATCTTTTTGCTAAAAACTTGAGACAGCCAGAAAGCAACTATTAAAAGAAGGAAGTTATAGGGAAAATGGAATCGGATGAAGAATATAACATGTATCATAATCATAACGATAGAATCAGCTGAGAGTTCAAATATGGGTTTTCCACAAATGGATATGTGGATATAAGGGACTTGAGAACAGCGGGCGGTAAAGTGCACTTTATGGCCCGTGGGCGATAATGGGCTCGCGGGCGGTAAAGTACTACTTTACGCCCGCAAATCTGGACGATAAAGTGCACTTTGCCGTCCGCTAGTGCTTAAAATTCTTTTAACGCAGTGAAATAATATTCATATTTTTATTTTATAAAAACGAGGAGAGAAAATCCCAAAAAATCTGGAATAATGATCGTATATTTTTTTCAGTCGTCCAACCAAGGTCTGTATGAGACGACGATCGATGGATATTTGGATCCCTTACGTCACAACAATGGATCCTACAAAAGCACCACTCTGAATACCACCATCACTACAATTTTATCTGTTACTAATTCCACTTCCTTTTTTGTAAATAAGTATCTATCTGCTATTTTTTTTCTATGGTATGATTTGTCTTTTGATGTTCTCATTGAGCATATAATGTACTAGCATTTCACTATGTAAAATGAATTTCCTTTTAGATGTAAATAATGAATTATATTCTGGTTGGTTTGTGATAGCTTGTTGTATAATAGGTCTTGGACAAATTTTTTGAAATGTAATAAACATTCTATTTTTTATTTCGACTAATGGTTTTTCTTCATCTCATCCAGATTCACATTATAAAAGTAAAACTGCAAATTTTTGATGAGCTCATTTCAGATTCCAAAACAACAACAAAAAATTTACAACAGAGTGAATCAACTCCTTAACTTGACAGGTTTTCAAGGTATACATGGTATTCACTCCTTAAAGGACCCCGCACCATTTAAATTGGAATCTTGTCTACGGTGAAATTTTTTGAAAATCTAGGATTAGATAGAATCAAATCATGCTGAACAAAAAATGACCGAGGACCGTTATGCCCGTTAAAAAAAGTTATAAGCTCTTGAAGCCAAACGAGATAACCTCTACCAGAACAGCACATATCCTGTGTATAATATGTTTTTGGCTAATATGGTATTTTTGAGTTGTCAGATAATGATCATTCATGTTATGTCAGTAAAAGTCATTGAGCAAAAGCGTATTATTTTGTTCAAATACGTTGCATGTCTCGACCGGGGATTATTAGTGGCCTTCCCATCCCTAATAACACACTTATGTCCCATGGATATCCTTAGAACGTCCTGTCGGGACATTCAGGACGTCCATAGGATATTAGAATACGATACCGTGGACGTCCATTGGACGTCTGTGGGATGCACAAATGTCCCACTTGAGGACCAACTAGGGACGTCCTTGAGGGATGTCCCTGGGACAACTATTGAATACCTAAATCCTACAGTATTCCTCATCAAGCACGACAGAGGACATCCATAGGACAACCTATCAGCAACGCTGAGGAATATCAATTGGATGTCCATAGGATGTCCCAGGGACGTACGAATTATTCTTGAATCCGAATTTTTCTGGGTCCCTCTAGGACCAGATCTTGCATAACTGATTAGGGCATCCAGTTGAGTTGATGGTCCGTAGAAGGTCCCCAAAATGTTTCCCACGGATGTCCAATGGACTTACGTGAAGGACATTGACGAGGAGTACTTATAGCCTACGAGCAATCATTCGTCGGCGAGGTGTAAGTTAACGTCCTCGCAGGGACAACATATTGAAAGTACCGACTGGGACGTCCATAGGACGTTATTTCTAGGACATTGGAAGAGTACAGTTCATGTACCAATTGGGACATCCGACGGATATCCGTTAACGTCCTCGCAGGGACAACATATTGAAAGTACCGACTGGGACGTCCATAGGACGTTATTTCTAGGACATTGGAAGAGTACAGTTCATGTACCAATTGGGACATCCGACGGATATCCCTATGGGACATTCGATGGATGTCCCAAAGGGGCATTTCGATTGTTATACGATCCTGGAAATATTAAGGGCGTCTGTGCAGAGATATTTGAAGGAGTACATTCCTTCAAATATCTCTGCATCAGGGACATTTCATGGTTGTCTAGAAGGGACATTATATAAGATCTGAAGTCATGACAGAATATGTACTACTCGGGACATCCAATGGATGTCCCTGAAGGAACGTTTAAAATCATATCCCATCAGGGACATGCCAAGGACGTCCTTGCATGGGCATTCTACAATATGTACCACGTGGGACGTCTCTAACGGATGCTATTTCTAGGACATTTAAAATGATGTACCAGCTGGGACATTCCGTGGACGTCCTTGCTCGGACATTTCAAGAGATGTACGGGATGGGACGTCCGAAGGACACTTATTTTTGGTCCGGGACATTCGGACGTGAATTGTACCAAATAGGGACGTCCCTAGGACGTTGTGTGCTATTAGGGATATAACACCAATCAATGGTCGCAATATTATACCATCAGCGTTGACATGTTCCCGACAAGATTGGGCATTTTCAGGGATAAAAATATGATATAAAATATACAGGGTGTCCCATAAGTAATGGATCAAAAGAAGTAGGGTGATAGGGGGGGGGGGTCGTTTGTAATCAAACTAACGGTATATGTTGTTATCAAATTGTTGATGGTTCAAAAATTATTCAATTTTTCTGACAAATGCGACCCATTCGCAAGAATTCAATAACGAAAAGGCTGTTTTAAATAACCCCATATGTTATACCATTTCGGAATCTGCATTATGGGCAACTTTTTCTTATGATTGATTATCTTTGGTGGGTGGTTTTTATATCTGCCAGTGGCATTTAAAAATCGACTCAAATATTTCATTCGAAGACAAAACTCAAGGAAAACAAAATTTTTCTCAGGTAATTGATAAGAAGTAATATATTTCATGAAATTATTTCTGGGGAAAGGTGCATCCATGTGGATGAAATTTATTAAAGAAAGAATCACAAATGTGACATAGTTTTTTAATAATTAATTCTTTTTGAAGAAATAAAAAAACATGAATACCTTTTGAAACATCAACAATTGGATAACCACATATTATACGGTTAGTTCGATTGGAAATGACCCCCCTTACCACCCCACTTCTTTCGATCCATGACTTATGGGACACCCTGTATACATTGACTCTAGGAACTAATGATACGTGACGTAATCTCGAGCACCCGGTATTTCCATATTTACCTTTTCTACGTAAAAAGTTACGCCCGCTTCCAATTTTGACGAAATAAATAGGAGTATGTGAACATTAAGAGATTACCGTAAGCCGCATAAGCATCAAACAATAATTAGTACTTTTCGAATTATCTTGAAAACAAATAATTTTATCGAAATTCTACAAGATGCAAAAAATACTCAAAAATGATTGAACAGTTGAAGAAAAATAGATAAGAAGTCATTAGCGCACGTACAAAATAAAATGGGGGTAAGTGTGTACTTGACCCCCAGTATTTTGAATATTCGACAGTTATTTCCTGTTTTGTTTTCTTCACACGATGTAACTCTTTGTGTTGAAGTGATGTACCAATTTTGACATCAATATCTTATTAAATACGAGAGTTATTTAAAAATAAACTGTTTTTATTTTCCAACTTTGACACCCTGTATATCGAATATGGAGGGCTAAAATGAAAAATAGTATGTTGAAAATTCATATTGTTTTTGTTTGTTTTCTCTAAAGCGATCCCAATCTATAAAAAAGGCGATCCGCTATGCGTAGAAAACTACAGATCTATATATCTACTGAGTTGCTTTTCAAAAATAATCGAAATAGCTGTGTACAAACAAATAATTGACTATTTAAACTTATATAATATTATAACACCCACCCAACATGGCTTCCGGAAAGATTTTTTAATTGAAACGGCCTCCATAGAACTAGTACAATTTATACATGAAAACATTGACGAAAATAAATACGTTATCGGACTTTTTTTCGATCTTTCGCGAGCATTTGAGACTCTCAACCCATCATTCTTAGAAGTAAAATTGGAAGCAGTTGGTATCCGTGGACCAATAAAATCTTGGCTAATATCATATATCAGTGGCAGAACATTAAAAGTCAAAGTGGATAATGAGATCTCAGATCCATATGATCTTATCTTAGGCACCCCACAAGGAGGGACCCTAGGTCCATTACTATTCCTTCTGTATGTAAATGACCTCCCTCAACATATACAAGATGGTAAAATCTTCATATATGCAGATGATACAACAATAATGGTATCCGCAGATACAATAGAAGAACTTGAACGGAAGGTGGATTTAGTCATAAACAATTTCAATCAATGGTGCGAAAGAAACCACCTCATAAACAATATCAAAAAAACAGTTTGCATCGAATTCACAAGTCAACGTAAGACAACAAATAATTCTCTAAATTTCAAAGTGAACAATACAGAAATCATGACGAGTCAATGCACAAAATTTCTAGGAACACAACTAGACCACAAACTAAATTTCGAAAATCAAATAGACGACATATGCAAAAAACTAAATAGAACTTATTTCGCTTTCAAAACCCTCAAAAACAACTTCTACAGAAATCATCTGGTAAATATTTATTATTCACTAGTATACTCACAAATATGTTGCAAATATGTAAGGGGCAGAGCAACCGAGATATCAAGAGTATTTATAATCCAAAAAAGATTCATCAGACTTATATTTGACCTGAATTATGACGAGTCATGTAAAGAAACCTTCCAAAATAATAAGTTATTAACAGTAACTTGTATATATATATACAAACTTCTCACATACACGTTTCAGAACCTACACAAGTATAACAAAAATAAAGATATCCACAGATACCCCACAAAAAATAGCGACGACATACATTTGAGTCGTTTCCATAAATATCAATATAGAAAGTCACCAATTTATGCCGGAGGCCAATTATTCAATGCCCTTCCAAGAAAGATAAAAGACACCAAAGATGCAAAAAAATTCAAGAATAATCTGAAAAAATATCTCACCGAAAACTCGTTTTATTCCCTAGACGAATATATAGAAAAATGTAAAGAAGAAAGTTAGATCATTTTGTTTTAAGCTGTGCTGTCCTTTTGAATTGTCAAATTTTCAACTTGAAATTCATTATGTTATTTATTCATATTTTTGAGCTGTCCTGTTCCACTCTTTTTGTATAATTGATTGTGAAAGTTAACTTATAACTACTATAGGTAGCTTTTTAAAACTGACTTATCCAATGTCATGTAAAAATGATTTTTGAAGGATGAATAAAAAGTAAGTAAGTAAGTTCAAGGAATATATGGTTGAAGGATCGACCTCCTTTTAGCGGACACCCTGTATATCCAGGAAAACAGTACTCATTTTTTTTCGCGTGGGAAAAGAATAAT